ATGTTGAGCTATAACTGTAAATACAGAAGATCCAGACTGCAACAATTAATTAGTTAAATACCTAACTATTTATTTATGAAGCTATTCGAAAAAGTACCTTGGTCTTTCAGATACCTGACATGCTTTCTCTGCCCCACTGCAAGGTTGGAAAGGGGTAAATTAATACTGTATGCAATTGATGATTTTTTTTTCTGTTAACCTGAAACTCTTGGGAATGAGAACAGCAGAGAACTTTCCCTGTTGCCTCTTGGCAACCCTGCTGAATTAAACTGTTCCTGAAGATAAAACACAGGTCTATTTAGACAGAATGTCTTGAAGATAATATTTTAAGACAAAATCAAACTTGCCTTGTTGTCAACCTGCTTCTCAGTACAATTTAATGTAGGTGCTTCATTTCTCATTGGAAAGGAAGAAAGAAGACTGAGAGGGGTTGAATCCCATTGCTATAGAAATTTAAAAGGGATTTGTGTCCAGCTTAATAACCAGCTCATTTCCATGTGAATGGAGATGATTCTTTAGAATAGTGTTTGACATTTTCACAGTTGTTTGCCAGTTTTGGGGTTTCATCAATTCTGTGTTTACTTTTGTCTCCAACTCCCAGGGGTTCAAGGACAGGGAGAGGAGTAAAAGTAATTGAGCAGCACTGGCTGGGCCCAATGTGTGTGTTTTTTTCTGCAAATGCTGACACATGGAAGCTGTTCACAAGGCAGCTCTTCCAATTCTCTGAATCCTGATTCTAGGATTAGGAAGGCACAAGCAATACTCAGCTGATAGTGGTCAGAGCTGTATCAAAGGGACAGCAGAGTGTCTTTTTGCTTAAGGGAGATTTTGGAGTGGGTATTTGGGGTTCTAGACCTCTCATTACTTCAGGCACACAGAGGTTTGCTTTAGCACAACCGCAAATTTCCAGCCGGGTACCACAGCACACAAGATGCACCTCAGTAAATATGATTTTGGAAAAGGGTCTAGTGCTCTGCAAACCCCACTAATGCCATTCCATTTTTAGAGAAAGACTTGTCTCTAGTATATTAGAACACCTTCCTTATTGGACACAGAGCATGTTATGTTCAACACAATCATAATTCTCTGGACAAGAAATCAGAGGTCTAAGACCTGAGTTTTCCAGTGCAGAAGGTACATGCAGGAAGAAGACTAAAGAGAAGTGTTCACACTGGCTCAATCATTTATTGCAACTAGCTACTGTCCCTCTGTATAGAGTGAAAAGTCACCTCCAGAATATGGAATAGCTTTTCTCTACCCTCCTTTATCTTTAAAAATGTTCTCATGTCCAGTTAAGACATATGATAACAGATGCCCACATTACTATTGTTATGAATGGAAAAAAAAACAGGATGAATGGACAATATTAGTAAAAAATTCTTTTAAAGTTGATGTGGAATATACAGCAGCAATCGAGGTATTTTTTGAGAAACAATGTGCAATTTCCACTTTAAAAGGATATCATGCTCCACCCAAGCAAAATCAATACAAGAAGTTGTGGAAGACAGCTTGCAGCAATAGACCAATCAATCTGTTTTCTTTAAGAATTAAAAAGTACTTACTTGAGAAAGAGGTAAGTAGTTTATATGTGAGTAAGTAGTTTAACTTTCACAAACAAAACAGTAGTTTCCAGAGCTGGAAGATAAAAGTAGACAAATCTAAACTAGACATTAGGTATGCATTCCAGGAATGCATGTAATCAACAGCTAAACCAATTTACTTGGGGTTCAACAAAATCAGTGTAAAACTGACCTCACATCTGACAAATATTCTGTGTCTCAGAGGACAGTGGCTTGATAAATCTCATACAGTGATTTCTAGTATGGTTTCTCTTATACACCAAGTCTGATATTGTGGTCAAAGTGGCTTTCAGCTTTTATCAATCTATAGTAAAGAGTGTGAAAAGAAGTGTGACTTTATTTTAGTGTGTTGACTGTACTGTGTTGTTCTATCTTTGGACAAACAGGGAGAGCAGACTGAAGAAGTGACCTAAGTGAACTGTGCAGCACATGAGCTTAGATGTACAGAAGGTCCTGTGTTATCTGAAAAAGGTAATGGCCAAGGTCACTGCAGTGGAAGGACATCAAAGAGTTTTGGTTGAAGCAGAATGTTTGGGTTGCTTGATAGAATTGTTCTTGGTTGATAAAGTCTGTGGTTAAAATGTTGCCATGTAACATGATGCCAAACTACTGATACAAGCTTAACAGAGGATATTGTAGCTAGCAAGAATTATATTGAATGTATCAACCAATGTGGCTATGAAATGCTAAAAAATCAAGTCAGAAATACTCCATTCTATTAAACAGTTTGGCTCTTCAGAGCTTTCCCACAAGTGATATTTCTAGATCCTCTGTTGCCCTGCTCAAAGTTGCAATGAAATAAAGTAATAGTTTTCATTTTCAAAATAAAAAAAGATAACCCAATCTCTTGGCATCGGTTTGAATAAAACTGATTTGATGTCTAATCTGATTTAAATGGATCAGAAATTAATGTACCAAAGATAAGACAAATAGTTGCTATTTAATCACAGTCTCATTTGCCTGTCAATGTGAAGTCTACTACAAATCAAGAAAGCAAGTAGCCCGAAGCACCAATTTATTTTTTGTCAACGAAAGGAAGGCTTATCTCCACAAACTTGCTGCCAGCTTTTTGTCTCTACAAAAAAATGCACTCCTGACTCACAGGAGAAACAGAAGTACCTGGAGGTGGATGCATGGAATACTTTCAAAAAATCTTGCTGTGCTTCAGAAAACAATTCCAAGATCAAAAGCCATTTGATGGGATCTCACAGAGATGAGAGCAGAAACACTAACTTACATCTTGTGTTCTTTAACCAGGAAACAGTCTGTTGACTTCAGCCAGCATTTCCTTGCTCTGATGGGTGTCTATGTAAACACAGAGCTGATCTGATGTATTTCAGTCAGTCCTAGTAACAGATAATATTTACTTTTGACTTTTTGCTTTTGCCACTTCTCCAGCATCTTCCTGTGCGGCTTTGAAAGAGCTTCCAAACTCCCCTCTATGCTGCACACCAGAAAAGGACAAAACAAAGACAATGTACCAAGTTAGCTCTTCCACACAGCTATAGCAGGGACGCCAAAAAACTGCCCAAAAGGCTGAACTTGTCACAAAGCTTAGTTTAATTTTACAATCATCATAAGGCATCCATGTAAATGAAAAATTCCCACCAGGGTCACAAACATTCTCCCACTAAATAAAATATGTTAGAACAGAGGCCCATGATTCCAAAAAATGCTAGTGGTTCCTGGTCTCGATCAGGCTGCCGCTGCCGGCATTGGGGTCCAGGAGATGCAGCACCAACAGCTGCAATTGTGGAAGTGTAAAGTCAGCTTGTACAATTTTTTTTCATTGGGGCAAAAATTGAAAGGGAAGGGGTTTGTTTTGGAAACCTTCTTTCCCCTTCTTTTTTGGGAAACCAAACCGGATTTTAAAGGTAATCCCATTCAAGGAGCAAAGAGCAGAGCTTGGAGTTCTGAAGCCCAAAAATGCTGATGGCCCATTTTTAAAACTAATGAAGCACTACAGAGGCCTGAGTTTATTATTGCTTTATCCCAGGTCAGCCCAGGCTAAGGCTATGGTGAAGTCCAAATTAATTTAAAGCCAGAAAATGCAGATCCAGTAACAGCACCTAAGTCCCCATCCACACATGGGTGTAAACAGATACTTTTGGTGAAGAAAAAAAAGCCCTTCCAAATTTCCTCCTCTTCCTGTCTATGCAGATCCCCATAGCAGGGCAAAAAATTGCCCTGAGATATAAAACAATTTCTCTCTCGCATCTCTGTTAGCCGAGTCTTTTCCATATGTTTTGCCTTTTGTTCATACTATCCTAGTGATGCATCAGCTCAGAGATGCCTTGTGGGAGCTCACAGACAGCACACAGGTACCCACATGTTAAAAAGTTTGTGGCACAGTCTAATAACCATTGCCTGTACTCTGCAATACCTCCAGGACACTTTGCCCTTGGCTACCTGAGACCAAAGCACAGAGGGAAGACAGTGTCTTCCCATCCTGCATGGCTGGCCGGTGATCCAGAGAAATAGCATGCAGGGGAAATGAAATGGCACCTTACTCCCACCGTAAGTCAGAAAACAGACTTGGGTAAAGTGGGACTTAAAAGTTTCACATCAAGAAAGATGGTGCTTCCCTCAAGACTATTGTATGACAGGGCCACTGTTATTCAGGCAAACATTATTCAAGGCAGTAAAATCTTAGCATGGATATTTTCATAGCTGACCTACAGGCCAAGATATGCTGGGGATCTTAAAAAAATTACAGGTCTTGGTAATTCCTCCAAAAGGACAAAATAGGAGACACATAGAATGCATCTGATGCATGTGCCACACATCCTGACACACTAGCAAAGACTGCAGCTAGACTTGTCAAAACAGTTAAAAAGATTTAGGCATAGTTAGTGCCAGAATTGATAGCATTTGGGAACATAATTTTAACTTCTTTGAAAATTCAAGCCTACACATTTCTTTATTGCTTGTCCCATTGAGTGCAAAGGGAAAACTGAAGGTAGGGTTAACTACAGAAGGATTTCAAATCCATCATAATGTTTCCCTGTTCTTTTTTATATTTATATATATATATATATATAAAGAGCATTATTATTATTATTATTATCATTATTATTATTATTTAGCCACCTATGGGCAGGGGGAAACAGGAGCTATTTAAAATTAGTTTCTCATTTAAGCATTAGTCCCTTTCCTCCCAAATCACAACACCTCTGTCACAGGAAGGAGCATAACATGAAAACATGTTTGCTGCCACTAACAATTCCTGAGTCTCTCCTTTGCAGAACTTTAGCCCAAATATTAGAACAATGACAGCTTGACACATACACACTCCCCAGCAACATACACACAGCAAGTAGGACATACTCCACAGCCTCAGTGGCCTCAGACAAAAAAAAAAAAAAAAAAAAAAAAAAAAAAAAAAAGAAAAAGAAAAAGAAAAAAAAAAAAAAAAAAAAAAAGAAAACAAAAAAAAAAAAAAAAAAAAAAAAAAAGAAAAAAATAAGAAGAAAAAGAACACCCTCCCACCAAACAACAAATCTGAAGAAACCATCCAGAAGAGCCTCAGGAAAGGGAACAATCCACTACCCATGGAGAAGCAACAGCCCAGGAGTTCCTGACGAGTAAAAACTGAATCAAAATACTTGTCAGACAGCTGGTGGAGATCTCTGAAATCTGGCAGTATTACATATTGGATACTTGAAGGCACATTTGCTTGTGTTTTGGGAGAGAAATCCAGTTACAACACACTGCAGCTGCAAGGCTGAGGGAAAGGAGGCAACGCTTTGTTATCTTTCCTCTGTTCCTGTCCCCATTTTCAAGCTTTGTGGCTGGCATGAACTGGTGATCTAAGCAGACACGTTGACATCCCTGAGTGAAATGGCACCATTTGTGGCCTCTGAGACTTTGTCCTCAAGCACCATTGCTGGTGTGTCTGTAGTGACTGCTGTAGTGTCTATGGCAGGAAGTGGATTCAAGCCCTGGGATAAGATCTGTTGGATCGTTTTTCGCAAATTGGGGTGCAGCTGGTTTTGGGTCTGGTAAAAAATTTCTAAGGCAAAAGACTTGAGAGTGCCAGTGCAAAGGTCCTCGTAAAGTGGAATTGTGTACATCCGAGACATCTACAAAAAAGGAAAACAAGATATAAACACTTCAATAAAGTCAAGAAGTTCAGCTCTTCTACAGCTACAGCTCCAACAGCCCTGAGTAACTTCAGACTGGAGACAAGCAACACATTTCTTCAAAAGACAGATGAGTTTATTCTAAGTCTGATGCAAAGTTTTTTATTAATGGTAATAAAAAAATCTGCTCTCTGAGACTGAGCTACTTCTACAAATAACAGAACTATTTTTAAAGGCCAAATAGAAGAGGCCACACTGAACACATGCATTAACCTTTTGCTCCAGCACAATAACAACTACTGAAAAGAATTCAACGAGCCCTAGCCTTGCTTGAAGTGTAAATATCCAAATAATCACACGATTTATTAGTGCAAAAACTTGTGGTCTGGAAAAGCCAGGGCTGCTACAAAGCAATACATAAAATGCATGGGGCAGAGCTGGGACATAGGTATGGAGTCAGGCTAGAAAAGCAGAGATTATCTGTAGGCATTTGAAATTAAATCTGCCCATTCCTCCCCACCGCTAGTAGGTGAGCCATGCTCAGCCCCTTCGCAACACACCTGGGCTACACTTGGCCAGGAAGCAGAAGTTCCAAGGTCTTTCACGTCGCATGTCTCATGCACATGTCTCATGCACTGAGAGGTGCAGTGAGTTTAATCCAGCAGTTAGTACCTGGTTTTCCAAGAAGCGACGGACTTTGTAAAGGTCTGGATAATAGTCATTTCGGACTACAATCTGCAACCAGCGGATACGGATTTCTGCATTCATGGAGTCCAGCTGAGAGGAGTAACATTCCGAGAGCTTTTTTATCACCTCTGAAGAGAGCACATACACAGAGAAAGAGCTATGACCTATTTGGTCAATTTTGAGGGTCATCAGATAATAACTGATAAAATCACAGAATCATAGAATCCATTGGGCTGGGAAAGACTTTTGAAGATCACCTGTTTCAATCCCTCTGTGGAATGGCCTGGGGCATCAACCTGCCTTTACATGAATTATAATGTCAACCAGAGGCAGGAATCTTTAGAATTCAACCAATTATTCCAGGGATAATTTTCTACTGTCTTGGAAAGAGTACTCACCATGTGGCAGTGGTGATCCATCCAGCAATCTGTCCAGGAAAAGCACAGTTTGGAACGTTCTCCATTTAGTGAGGTCAACACTGCTGGCAGCAGCAACAGAGTCCAGAGGCTCTGTGGTCCAGAGTTTGAAGAGTGTCTCCACTGGTCTGGTCAGACTGGATCCCTGAGATAAGTCTGGCTCAGCTAACGGAGGTCCTGTAGCATTGAGCCAACGTTCAAACTCCAGTCCTGGAATGAGGAGCACCAAAAATGTGGAGCAGAGATCTCTGCAGGTGGCTTGGCTGCCTCAAAGTTCAGAACCGCTTCTAGCACAGTTAAGGGAGGTTCTAACAACAGCAACCAATAGTTACAGTGACACAACAGTCTTAGCAGCCTCATTGGGATAGCCTATGGAACACCTGGAAGAGTGCCAGCAACGCTGCTCCAAACCTCAATATGAGTTTTCTAGAGTTCAACAGCACAGTAAATACAAAAAATACACAAGCTCTTAAGGCAGCCAGTCTGACAAGTACCTATGTTCAAATTATGCTCTAATATTTGTGTGCCTGCATTTCTCTCTCAGAATTTTGAGGAAGACTGACAAATATGGACTTTATAAAAACAAAGGAGGTGAGAGGGCTGACTAAACTCCTCCTACCCACCAGTAAATCTAAGCAATTTACATTTATATATACAACTAATTAAAAAAGTTTCTTCACAAGCAGCAGAGCCTGCTTTCCAGCAGAGCTCTTCCACTTGACCTTTTACCACCTCTGTACTTCCCTAACCCTCGGCAATACTTCCTGTTCCACACCATCTACACTAAAACTCTTACCTTCTGCATTCCCTGAATATTAGCCAGGCAAAAATTAGCATCTTCTGTGGTTAACTCATTAGCCTACAGTGGGCCAAATAAAACACAGAACTGCTGAGCTCATGCTGCAGCTTTTCCCAGAGTAAACTGTCTCATCTACACGTCTCCACAGGCAGTTTCCACAAAGCCTGCAGGCACCCAGTATCCTTAAGAGCTGTACTCTGACAGTCTGGTTTAAACTGTCCAATGGGCTCAATAGCTATTCACAGGGATGGACATATGGCAGGATAACATCAGACTCATTCCTTTAAGAAAGTGAGATAATAAGCACCTGGTAGGCCACAGACCTTCCACAAATCCACCAGCAGCTATAAATAGTGGATATAGGGGAAAGTGAAACATTCTAGAAGAGATTTTATATGTATGGGTAGGATCTTAGTGAAGTTATAGTTCTCAAAGCATGTTTTCTGTTATTAAAATAGGTGAAATTTCAAAGTGTGTTCATTTTTTCCCTCCATTTAAACATGTGTAAATCTCACAAGCACTGATCATTCTGTCTATAGAGTGAAAGGTGAGTTAATGAGAAAGTTAATTAATGCCAAAATCATCAGCAATTTCAGAGGTCCTCATTCCCCACTGTAGAAGCAGCAACCACAAATTCTGTCAAGAACACCTGGTTGTTGCTGAACTATTTTGTTTGCCTTAGCATTTTCCTGTGCATCCTCCAAGCCAAGCACAAAATTCATCACCCAGGTTTTCTACAGTGCTTACAGTTAACTTAGTAAATCTCCTACCTGCTTTGCTCTCAACACATTGCTCTTTCAGCTCTGGAAAAAAATTCAGGAAGGAATCCAGAAGATCTTGAGCCACAACACTGGTAAATTTATACTTCTCAATGTAGGCCTAAAATAGTAAAACATTTCAATTATTATTAGGAGCAAGACAGCTTCCTTTTGATGTAGAATCACTGCATGCCACAATAATAACAACAACAAAAAATACAAGCATAAGAGGAGGAACAATTACTTGAAGGTTTAAAAAAAATTGAAGAAAAATATTCTCCCTCCTCACCCAGTTAAATAAAGAAGCACCATAATATGAAAAAAAAATGAATAGCTGCAAATACATTGACATCTGAGAATCATTTAATTTTCCTTTTCAAAACAAGGCAGTAGCCGACAATTTTCTATAGGTTTTGCAAGTGTGCTTCCAGGCACCAACCTGCCCCAATATAGTAACCCATACCCTTCATCACCCTAGATAAAAACACCCAAGTTAACACTTCTTAGTAGCCACATCTTTCCAGTCACAGGCAATCTGTGCTGAACAGCTTTCTATTTACTTGGAGGACAGAACAAGAGATAACAAATATGTACTACTAATCTGTATCTAGCACCTCACAAGCTCAGAATCTCAGAAATCTTGTAGAAAGATTCATGTAGGTTGACAGACAGGCCCACAACTTTCCTCCATCTCTGACACACTTGAATTCAACTTTACTCTTAACAATTAGCCACAGTGAAAGAATCTGGGGGAAAAAATGCAAACACCAACAAAAAATCAGCTCTAAATCTCAAGAAAACACATTTTTATACTCACTCTTAGGAAGGAGTCAAAGTGTCTGGGGTCACCACAGAGCTGGGACAGGTAGTAAACAAAGCAGTAGCCTTTCTCATAGGTGAAGAGGTTCATTAAATTACTGGGATTTACACCTGAAAGAAGACAAAATGAGAAGAAACTAATGAGAAGAGTGATTTCAAGCCCTTCTGAGTTATACATACTCCTTAGAGATCACCAAGGTGAGACATAGTGACCTAAAAAAAACCTAATCTTATTGTCACTACATTTAAGTTACTGCAATAAATAAATAGATGCAGTCCAAAGGCACAGCCTGAAATTTTTTTTTTTTTTTTTTTTAAATCAAGCATTGTAAGGTAAGTAGCAACTCCAATGGAATAAGTCACTTCAAACTAGAGGTCACTGAAAATAGGTCTGGAACTTGAAAAAAAATCCTTTTTTCTTTTTTCAGGTTCTGGGATTCACCATACCACAAATTTTCAAAGATATCAATAAAAGGTAATAACCCCTTGTTCCTTTCATGAGGCTTTCACACATGCTTTTCCATTCCATTCGACTCCAATATAATCTCACTTGTATTTTAGGTTGTTTTAAACATCATCTAGATAGAAGATGATATCACCCACCCAACTGTGACCACAGAACTAGAGAGCTATGAGTGAAGGAGACGGGTAAATCTGGAGTGCAGTCATGCATCTGGCTCAGGGAATAACCAAAACACCCTCTGCACAGCTCAGCTTAAAGCAAATACCTGTTTATCTGCATGCTAAATACATACATACTTCTTACATGAATACATAGAGAGGAACATTGAATAGCAGAGGATTTTATATTATGTTTCCAAATACTTCCATTTTGAAATACTTTATTTTACATATCCAAAATTTCAAACCCACATAGCTTTCAAGGCAGTTTTTCATATTCTTTCTACTCAGTAAGTCTGTTCTTACACAGAACAATATCTATAAAGATGAGTTATCCAACCTTGACAAAAGCTTGAAAGCAAAGCTTCCTTACCTGTTTTTCGACTGGTTTACAAACCAGTATTTCTTTGTTTTTAATTTTTTTTTTCATAAAGGATACATAGATATTAGTAATTTCTTGTCAATATTCCACCATGGATATACAGAGGTGTATAATTCTGTGCAAAGCAGCCTCAACCAAAAGCAATACCTGGCTCCAGTTTAACCTGAAGCTTGCTGACCGGGTTGTCTTCTCCAAGGAGCTTCATCTGTCTGTGGAGAGCATCGAGGCGGAATGCAGTCTCCAAACATGTGAAGGCAGCTCCTAAGCCAGAAAGTAATTTGTTAGTTGTGGGAAAACGATCAGCAAAAGCTGATCTGTGCAGGACTGGCACAGGGACAAACTAAAAGCTGCTGCAGGTGCAAAAGACAGAACAGTGAGACAGAATCACAGCAATGTAATGGCAGAGAAACTTGAGTGCAGAACATCCTTGTAATTAGTAATGGAAGTCAGAGCCTAACCCAGTGTATTTCCTCACTCTGATCATGCATCAGGTAGCACTGGAAACCAAAACAGCATGAAAATTATGCTAAAGTTTGCATCCTTGACATCATATCATCAGCTCTTGCAAGATAAGGAGAGCAGCACTGAAAAAAAGAATTGTACAGATAACTTTCAGGGAGCAATCAAGTGCTACAAAAACATACTCTCACTAGTAGAATAGTAGACATAATTCCATACTCAGCGCCAAGGATATTACTAAATGTCACCTCTTGAGTGGAAAGAGAAAAGAATTGGATTTGGTTATTGTATTACAGATTCTGTGTGTATTTTTAAAGCTTTATCATCCTACCTGGTTTTTGCCCTAAGTATTTCACCTTCCTCTCATTAGGACTTTTTACAGTTGTGACTGGATAAGCTACTCCTCTCTAACTGCAATGTAGAGCATTCCATGCTTTCAAACCAAACTAACTGTATTACACTGCCAAATCAAGAGATCTTTCCTATGCCCTTGCAGACATTAGGAGCTGCAGAAAATGGATTTTCAGATTCAGAAGATACTTAATATCCGTAGTTATTAAAATTTTAGCCTTTTTTGCTGAGTTTTTAACCTGAAGATAGCGTTTGTTACATAGATACAACCTCAGAGTCTCAATGTAACACTTGAATCCTACATAGCCAAATGTGAATTAAGAACCAGGATATGTTTGGAAAACAGGAGAATGAGCAGGGAAGAAATGCACGTGCTTCCCAGGGGAAAGCAAGAACTAGAGTAACTAGTGTTAAGGGCAATTACTTCAAGCTACAGAGAGGTGAATTAAGCAAGAGCCAAGAGGAGTGGTAGTCAGTGGACTCAAATTTCCCTAAACCATATAATTGCAAAAATGCCTGTTTACTATCAACAGAAGATACTCCAGAAATTATGTCAGAAATGGTAAGATTTAGATCAAAGGTTTGTCTTGGAAACAAAATAGAATGGAGAAAGAGCTTACTAAAGAATTGCACAGGGAAAGACGTTTTTTTAGTTTCCCAGCAGATGCTTCTTGAAACAACCGGTTCTAGAGAACAGACCAAAATCAGAAGGATTTTTGTTCTGTGTTGGATGGAACAGACTAAGATGATGAACAGGTTGATATCTGCTGACTTACTCACATTACTGCCATGCATAATGTGACTTAGGACAGTGCTACTCACTGAGATTTACTCAACACAAAACAGCTTTCAAAGATATGTAATATGCATTGTAACATCTCCATAAATGCTCAGAGCACTTGTTTGCCTAAACTTGTCACCAGTTCATGCCCCAAAACAAGATACATGAATAAAAACAAATGCTTTCTTCTAAACATTTTTGCTGTCAAGATTTCTAGGAACTTTTCTAAGATTGTTTACAATGGATGCTTGAGAAAACACATGGAACTGGCTTTTAAGAACATAACAGGACGAACTATAAAAGCATACATTCCCATTATTCACTTAAATAACAAGCCAATTAAAAGAAAGAGGAATAATTTACTACTTATGTATTCTAAAGACAGCAACATAAAACTGACCTGTGAAATTCACTGACACAAGCAATGGCAGGGTTTACAATCCTGCAGGAAGACTCCAGCACATGAACAGCTACATAAATCTGCACATTTTTTTTAATGCAACTTTCATCCTTCTTTTTAACAGTAGGTAGCTACTAACTGATCAGAATTAAAAGGATACTTCTTCAGAGGATGGTTATTTCACAATGTAATTGTGACAAGATTTCTTACACCTTTCTCTGAAGCATCCTCTGCTCACCTTGCTCTGGCATATCAGCACATGCCTGGTACCTAACAGTACTAACTTAGTAGTTCCAAGTCCCCACAGCATTTTGCTAACATGCCTCACTCAAAGCCCCTGGTACCATATCAGGTATTGAGCCCACTAAAGCCAAGACAACGTCAAACTCTAAGTATGCAAGATGTTCAACACAAAGTTTGGGGCTGTGTGTGGGTGTGTGTTCCAGAAATAAAACAAAACCTAAATGAAAACCAGCTCCCTACAGACTTCTGAGCTTCCAAGGCAAACACCCCAAGCAGGCAGCTCTGAGTTATGGTTAGCAGGAGCACAGGGAGAAGTTTCTGCAGCTGTACCGTAGGTCTCGGTGGTGATCCGGCGCTGCGCGTAGGTGGCCAGGCCCTCGCTCAGCCACATCTCCTCCCACGTGGCGTTGGTGACCGCGTTCCCAAACCAGCTGTGGGCAACTTCATGAATGACGTCAATGATCAAAAACTCATCGCTCTCCAGAATGGAAGAGATGATGAAGGTCAGGCATGGGTTTTCCATGGCAACGATAGGGAAGGAAGGAGGAAGAAAAACAATGTCGTATCTAAAATTAGTGAAAGAAAGAAGAAAGGAGATGAGTAAATTGCAGCCAGAAGACACATAGTAACACTTTCTTTTTTCAGAAGACACAGTAACACTTTTCTTTCTTTAGGGAAGGCTCTTCTGAGACTTCTTTTAACTTCAGGAACAAACTTTCTAGACCAGTGGTGCCTAATTCTTCTGATCAGAGCATCACAACTTATTTTGTTGGCCAAGGACCTGCTTATGTTTGGACGTAAAACTTGACAGTCTTTTGATGTGCAGTGGATGCAGCACATCCCAGAAGCATTGTGCTCCCTTCACACACACACTCGTCATAAGTTATGTGTCTGGGAACCACAAAAACTGTTTACTCTATATACAGTAGTATAACATGGTGTTGAGTCCCCAGAGGCTCCCAGGAAAGAGAGAGGCTAGGAAGCTGTCAATGCCTGAATTGATTTCCTACATATGCAGTGACAGTAAAATAACTTTAATCTGTCTGCTTCGGAACACAACAGTAGTATTTGTTTTGTTTTCTAAATTTCTTTACCAGTGATCAGCACTGGCACACTGGGTCATGTTCTCAGATTATTTCAAGCAATACTTGTTAAATCAACAACAAGGAAATCTTCCTGCTTACGTTTAGCAAAGAAATATAGGAAGCCTCTGTAAAAATTTTCTCCCATCCAAAGAGTGCGAGTATTCTCTCAAAACCACTCTTTTTTAATACATACTCAAGCTATTCAAGAGCTATTAATGTTGGTTTGGGGGACTTGGACTCTCAATAAGTCTGTACTGAGATTTTTCAGTATTCTCAGGCATGCCACAATAAATGCAGAAGTAAATGACATAAAAAAAACAACCATACATTTTAAATGGTGTCTGGCCCATGCTGGACTTACATCACAAGACACTGTAGTATGAAAAGCCCTCATTCCTCAGGAAAGATCCACTGTTTAGAAACCTCCAGTTTGAACTGGAGGTTTCTAAATAGTGGATCTTAACATTGCAAACCAGCTAAAACATCTCCATGGTCCTTCCTGCCACTCTGGACAAAACTCCAGAGTCTGTTTTCAACTACTACAATGCTGCCAGTTGAAATGCTAGTTTGCCCTGCTATAGGGAGAAAGAATGCTCATTTCTCAATACTGTTTTATTTTGTTCCCATTGCACATTCCCAGAACACTGATAAAACTCACCTTCCCCATATATAGGGGCCATACAGACTCTCTGCAGCAGTCAACCAGCGTTCAACAATGCCAGAAAGCTTGCTGATGGCTGTTGGCAGCAGGCAAGGCTCTGCCCACACTCTGCTCCTGTCAGAAAACAGAAAACATCAGGTGATACTTCAGCAAACTGAATTATCTCTTAGAAAAAAAATAAACCAGCCTGACTGCTTACCACACTTCCATGTATGGTAATAGAGCAAGGAGACCTCCCATCAAACCTGGACCCTCCTAGACTAATGCTCCATGGAACATGGCAAGAGGCAACCAAAAATCCCTTCAACAAGGCAACAAGAAAGCAGCTGTAATAACTTCAGGGGAACAGTAGGCAACATTTATGAAAGAGGAATGTATCTTTGCCAGTGCAGTGCCATGAATTTCTTTATACCCAACTACACTTCAAACTCTCCCTGTGCTCACAGCTCATGAACCCAACTGTTCCCTTATCAATGACTCGATATCCTTGCTACTTTACAGAATGAAGCACTGTACAGAGACATAAAATGCAGAATGAACCCACTGCAATTCTTACCTTGGACCTATGTCTGCATGTATGAGGTCTCCAGCCACCAGGGCCACTAGGTAAGCAGGAACTGGATATTCCATGTAAAATTGATATACACCTTCCTCTTCTAGGTAGGAACTTTGGGTGGCACTCATCAACACCTGTATGCCTGCTGGAGCCTGGAAGACCATCATCATGCACATCAACTCACCAGATAATCACAGCTGAATGACTGAACCACAGATCTCTGGTTCATTTTCATCTATGCTTGATGATGTATATTAAAAATAGTCATTTACATAACACAAAATGGAAGATTTCTGTGAGGTTTTATACCACAATTTGCCCAATACATGAAAACATACCAATGAAAGATATTACTCCTCCTACATGCCAGCTGCCCCAAAAGCACCTACATATTAAATTATTTCATCTATACAAAGTGCAACATTATTTGATGGTGATTTCAAAAGACTTCAGGTTTTTTCTTTCAAAAAGTGGTACAATACAGTTGAGTATTATCATCATCAGTAACCACTATTGGAAGGGGCCAGCCAAATTCTCTCTTATATTTTTATTTCACAATTACTCTTTCAACATTGAGTACAAGGAAGGCAAAACTCAAGAATGGTCAGCAACAGAGTTACCTTTGTGGTACTACCCTGATTCTGGCCCAAGAACCAGAACTGGACCTAAAAAATTCAGTATTCTTTATAACACTGAATCACAATCTTTTTAGCAGATGCAAGCTGATAAAAATACGTGATGTAACTACACTTTCACAGGTTAACAGCAACTAAGACTCCCATAAACCATTCACAGGCATCCCTTACCTTGACAGTAGCTGAGTAGGTGCATTTCACTGCAGGGGTGTCAAAGCAGGGGAAGAAGGAGCGGTTACACACCGAGTGTCCCTGTGTGAAGACAAAGGGCTTGGCATTGCCATATGTCAGCTCTGGATCCAGCCACCAGATCTGTTGAAACACGATGGGAAGAGGAGGTGAGGGAAACAGACAATGTGACAAGGATGAACTGCCAAAAACAAAATGGGAAATCAAGAGGATTGTGGGGGAGAACCTCAGCTGTTTCACTCCCCAGATGAACACCTGGCACAGGGCACATTTCCATCTCTAACAATACATCTTTCTACTCCAGTTTATCTGCTGGGAATGCTCAGAAAAAATTTCTTACTGTCTGAACACTGAGTGGTAACATGTAACATAGTGACTTCCAGCCACTCACTATTTCTGTTATATCCATTTGCTTGGTTAATAACAAGTCCCTAACAAACATCCACACAACCTTCTTCTCAAAGGGAGTACTCTGGCTATCTCCAAGTTGATAACTCAATATGAGCAGGAATAGAAGAGGTCAGGTAACATAAACTGAAAAGAAAAAAAAAAAATCAATCCAAACCAAATCCAAGTCCACAAACCAAAAATCCCTGAAGTGGAACAGTGTACACAATATTATCTGTGACCCTGACACTGCCCTCCTGGCTGAAGCATCAAACATTTTGACACTAAGCAAAAACGCCGGTATATGTAAGAAACATCTGGTCAAGGACACTGGAGGCCCCTTTTTACAGAATGGATGAGATTCTGGGTGGTCACAAAGGAAAAGCCAACAAAACACACCACTGAGCACGTTAATTTTCAGTACCAAACAGCAAATAAATCACAAGTCAGACCCTCAGCAAATAATTAGAACAGATTAAGACTAGTAAGAAAAAGTCCAATTATTTGCCTTTTGGTCTTTCTGTTTCAAATGTTTGTGCTTTCACATGCTCCCTGCCTCCAACTTTGAAGTGTAGGAGCAATTTTAAATAAGGATTTCCTTGTAATCCTAGAACTCTGGAGCTGAACTCTGATGGAAAATATCAAAAATTGTGAAATTTGCAATAAAATTTGAACCACTGGAAGTCTTGGAAACAGTCAAGCACAAGGAATAAAACCTATGAGTCTGCTGAATTCTTAGATCAAAGCAACCAATAAATCTGAGATCAGGGAACAGCAGTTAGTGCAAATACTAGTTCAGTTCTAGTCCTCAAGGGAAAGCAACAAAACACAGAAGAGAAGCTTGGGTAGTAAGTCTGCTCACGTTTTAACAATGTATTTCAACTCTGTCTCCTAGTTAACTTTTGGAAGTAAAAGTTTTCTCTGTCTCCTTCTGTCCTATAAGGTTATTTCTTGATCTCTTCCTCCCTTGCCTTTAGGCCTTTTTCCTCAGATGCCAGTGTGCTCCTCTCCCAAATCATCCACTACAGCAGCACCCCCAGGGATCAGTGAAAGATGAGGACAGGAAACACAGTCAGCAGCTTTCAGTTACTCCCATGGAGTCTCACACTTCTGCTGGCAAATGTTTGGAGTTTTTTAGCAGGGAGGCATTCAAAATTAAAAACCTTGGTCCATAAGTAAAATTAATTTCTTGAAATTTGTTTTAGGATTGACCTCTTCTATTTCAAGCCTGTAGGGCCAGAAACAAGCCTAAAGCAGGACTTCTGAGGAGCCCTGTCTGTTTACATCCATTTACTGCATTTCAGCATAGCACTGCCCACAATCCTGGGTCACAGCCCAGATTGCTACAGATTTCCACTACATTTCTCATGGATACCTGCTTTTCACAGCAAAGAATATAATTTCTGCAATGCCTCATTATGGAATTAGAGACAGCTGTTCCAGAAGGCATTTGGGGACATATGTCTCATTACACAGCAATAACTAGGAACTTCCACCCAAAACACACATTTACAAAAAAATGAAGGTGCTATATTTAATGCAGGGTAGTAGTTTCCTCACGATCCAGGGAAGAGGCTCAGAAATTAAATTTCCAAGATCTGTCCCAATGCCTTTTGAAAACACTCATCTGATCAGTGGCTTTGTGCTTGTATCACAAATCTCTATCGCTGGCCCTGCTGAAGAGATGCATCTTCAAAACATTGTTTCCTTTGCTTTTTGAGAGACAGAAAAGGCTAACAAAGAAAACAGAGAGATAAGGCACCACCACACCTAAGTTGCAACACTTGAGCAGGAAGGAAAAAGGGCTGACATACGTCTTTACAGCAGAGAGACAAGGAGAAGTTCTCCCTGAGCAATGCAGGAGGAAAACATTAGCAGGAAGGGAAGGGGAACTAAGAGTTGATTCTTGTTTACAAAAAACTCCATAAATTAAGGACAACTTCTTTTCAACCAGTCCTGCTTTATTTGACATTTGGTTGAAGTTAAGTGAAGCACCAGCCCCACAAGCCAAGAGGGAAAACATTTGCAGAGGATGAAGTATTTTTTTCCCCTGTTTTCTAATGTCTGCAGCTACATGGCAAGCCTCTGTCTCTCTTTCCAGACACACTTGGAACAATGATGAAAGTTATCCTGAAACAATATAAATAGATCTGTAATATAAATAGACCAGGCTATGCTGCTGGACAGAGGCAGGGCTATGGGCTGGGGAAAATGAGTATAAGCAGCATGCCAGAAAGGAGTGTGAGGCACAGGGCGCTGCTGGGGCAGGTGGTGGAGCAGAGAGACAGAGCAGTATTTGGGGCTGTATCATCTACTCCACATGCAAATGCCTCCTGCACTTCCCCTTGGGAAATACACGACATCATCATCATGCTCTTCATTTTTATCTAGCTTTTCATGTATACAGGAAAGCTGTTTCACACATTAAAGTTGTTCTGTGGTGCATTTCAATTAAAAAGACCTGCTGCATGATTCCTCTGCTGAACAAAGGCTTTTGGCAGCCCAGGCTTTCCCCTGCCCACATACTGCAAAGAAGTCCACACTTCATAAGACACCTGCCAAGAGTATAATTTTTATTGACTTAGATCATAATCTTTTGCCCAAATCTGGCAAATGACAAAGGCAATTAGCTAAGCCTCTTTTAATTTTAAACCTCTCCATGTTTCTACATGCATTATTGATGAAGGTGGCAGGAAGAGCTGCAAAGCCCCAGCTTCTGTTCTAGGCAAACAAGCTGCTCTATCTGATGACAAAGTAAACAAAACACCTGAGATGCAGAGCATGTGACAGAAGCAAGGCACACCTGGGCAGCAAGTCATTCTATGGGGACTGAAGAATCAAGACAAATCTAAGGAATTACAGGGAAGTTCCTGGCACTGCAAAGAGGGCTGTCCTTTCTGCTAAATCCTGAAGATGAGGAAATGTTACAATGTTTTGTAACAGAACCCAGAGGAGGATTTGCATCTAAGGAAAGAAAATAGCACTGCTGTGAAGATGTGCACTGCCAAATCAGAGAAATGACACAGTGGGAAAGAGATAGGTGCAGATTTTTCTTTCTAGGGAAGGAAAAAAGAAAATATCACACAAGAGTATTACCAAGAAGTAAGGGATGAGGGAGAAGGAGAGGAAGAACAGAACTGCTGTCCCTGACATATCTGATCACTGTGTGCCTTCAGCCCACACCAGGAGAGACACACAATGATTGTGACAGTCTTGCCTCTGATGGAAACTGGTGATGTACTGAGCATATGGTTTCCTAACAGCACAGGGAGTTGGAATGCTCTGTGAAAGGCAGATTTAATCTCTCAGCTGTCTCTCAATGTCCATCAAACAACTAAAGATCTTGGCTTCTTCCTCCACATGAGAAATAATGGGACAGTCAAGTAACATGTCCAGATGGCTCAAAGCAAGTATATCAAGACAACAGGTTTCCAATTTTAAACACTACTACTCTGCTGCTGATCTTACTGCCAACACATTCACACTGCACTGTAACATGTATTTACTGTTTTATAGGTCCCACAAGTATTATAAAGGTCCCACAGAAAATAAACCCTGACCTAAGAAGAATACATTCCTAGAATGGCCAAAGAAAATAGAACTTTTAGAAGAGAGAGGTCTGACATTGTAAATCTGTGTCTCATTGACAGAGAAAAGGGACTGCTAGAATATTTACAAGAACGTGAGTATAAACCAGTTGACCCTTACACACATATGGGTTACTCATCCCTGTTAAAGTGCAGGGCTGGGCCAAAAAAACAGCAATGACAAGAGAGCACTACAATAGCACCAAATCGCTTTGGATCCAAACAAAATAGTTCAGCATGCTGAACATGAAGGGCTACAACAGGTGCTACTCGAGGACAAATATTTTGCCAGCCAAAACCTACAATAGAGAGTGAGCAAACATGGTAGGATTTATGTCAGTGAGCATGCCTGCTCCTGCTTTCCAGTATCACTTGGGAAGGGCAGTGCATGTCCCCAGTGCTGTGATCATCAATAATCTTGACATGAGCCCTTGCAGCTTCATTTCAGCTGAAGCAGGACATGCTGCTAAAGGTACAATAAAGACTTCAAAGAACAGTGTAAAGAATAGGTAGTTCACCTCTGATCCATGGGGAGCAAGACAACAATAGAGGGAATGGAAGAAATGTCCTCCCTCAGCATCCACACAGGACTGTGTGTGGGGCCAGGGAGACAACACATTAATACAAGGTGAGACTAAATGAACATCATGTCAATCAGTGCCCCTGAACCTTCCAGTGGTTTTCACATTCCCAAAGCCAAATCAGTATTCCAATCATACTGAGATCACTTCTCCATAGATTCAGCAGGACAGGCTGCCCCTTTGGCAACAGGGGAAAGCACAGGCCAGCCTAAAATAAAACAATTTGTTCAAGAGGAGGAAAGCAGTTATCGTGTACTTGGGGAGGCGTGGCTCAGCCAGACTGAGAACGATTACAGAGCACACAGCAATGCCAAATTAGCTTTAAAGCCTTCTCACCATAAACAAGGCAGAGAGTGGACAAAAGAAACGGTTTCTTCATAGACCTGGGAAAAATAATGAACAGAATCCTCTGAACACACTGTGAGCTCCATGGCAGAGTACTGTACAAGGAAATACTAAAGCCAGGAATTCCAGAGGTGAAAAGGAGCAATACCCAAGTGGATCTGAACTTTAAAAGTTAGAGAATCTTCCTTCATTTTTGCACTTTTAGGGAAGGATTAGAACATTAAAAAGTCACCATATGATCACAGGAAACTTCTGTCAATAAAAGTCTTCATGTGGAACTCACTATTCCAAGTGAGCCACTGTATTAAGACTACCAAGATCAATCCAAGGATGAAATTACTTTTGTGATCTTCCATGTAGTATTAAAATTAGACAGAGAAACACCCAGAAAACACATTCTAATCAGCAAGACATTCCTATCAAGAGGAAAGGCCTACTATTTACTTCCTGTGGATTGTTTTGCAAGAAGCTTTTATCATTCAATTCCTGCTCTTGTTAAATACATTGTAAAAGTCCAATAGATCCAGACATTTACTGGTTCTGACAAGTGCAACAGCAACACCAAATCAGAGGACTGAGAGACAATTCCTCTAGGCAACAGGGATGCAAAAAAGTTGCACGACTCACAAAAATACAACTCTTATGTAAATAGACTAATGAACCACATGATGAAAATCACCTCAGTTTAATTTCCAACCTGAACAGACTTTACAGTAATAAAAAGAACTGATGTTCCAGTGGGAACTTCATATTTTCCCTATCATAACTTCTTAAAAACACAAGAACTGCTAAGCAGCACCTAAAAGGCTGGGAATAAAGTGCTTCTAAATACCAGGGGCTTAAGAGAAATGATATAATTTACAAAGCGTTTCACTGCTGAAGAAAGCTAATCCACAGACACGGAAGCACCTCCATAGCTACATCCAAAGGGGAGTTTTGGGCCATTTCAGCAGATAACTTTAGGAACCTGTGGAATCACCCCTAGTCTTCTCAAAGCTCCTGACCATGGCTCACTGGAACACCAGCCTAGCTGTGCAAGGCCTGATTTTGTTAGCAGTTGGCAAAACCCCCAGGGAAACTCCTACATTGTGCATGACATAATTTATCCCAAAGGACTGAGTCAAAGCAGGAGTTTGCAGATTTTCACTCTCCCCGCCAACAACTGCAATGTCCTTAAAGAACGAAAAACTTCCAAATTACTGTAGTGAGGGGGGATGAATAGACTTGGGGTCCACGCGATGGAGGAAGACAGGAGGGAGAGAGGCTGGATGGGTACAAGCACCGCTGCTGAGTGCGGCGGGGGACCGCGGGGCTGGCGGTGCGGAGAGCCCCTGCGGGCAGGGGACAGACGCTGCTGCCCAGCGGGCTGGCGCTGCCAGGAGACGGGGCCAGGGACAGGCTGGCAGTGAGACACCTCCCGCCGCCTCTGCCGAGGAGTCGGGGCGCTTTCCCGACGGTCATTTAGAACGGGAGCAAAGATGCGTGACAGGCGCTGGCGGCACGGGAGGGCTTTTCCAGCCGCCCCGGGACCCGGTTTCCTACGTTACCAACCCCCGCCCGGTACTCACGGCGGGGCCGTCGGCCGTGGTGTAGCGGACGATGATCTGGAAGGGCTGGTGCGGCTGGAGGGCGGCGGGCAGGGAGATGGTGAGGGACGAGCCGTAGTCGGTGAAGGGGTCCACCCTGAAGCCGAGCGGGCAGGCGGAGCAGGGCGGCTGAGCGAAGAGGGGCAGCGGCGGCGGCGGCTCGGCGGCGGCGGGCGGGGGGCCGGCGGGCGGGTCCCCCGGGGGGGCGGCGGGGGGCAGCGGCCCGGCGGCGATGCAGGGCGCCGAGAGGAAGGTGGCGGTGGCGGGCGGGCTGGCGGCGCAGGGCGGCGCGCAGGGCGGCGGCGGCGGCGGGCAGGGCGGTGGGGGCGGCGGGGCCGGAGCGGCGGCAGCCTCGGCCGGCGAGAAGGCGAAGGCGCAGGGCGCTTCGCCGGCGGCGGCACGGCGGAAAGCGGCCGAGAGGACGCGCAGCGCCGGGTGCACGTCCAGCACCAGGGCGCGGGGCTGCGGGCGCAGCGCGCAGAGCTCCAGCACCAGGCAGCCCGCCAGCGCCCGCGCCTCGGGCCGCAGCTCCAGCCCCAGGTGCAGGTGCCTCAGGCTGAAGAGCTGCGAGCTGGACGCCGACGCCACGTCCGGCGGCGGCTCGGGAGGCGGCGGCGGGGCCGGCGGCGCCTCCGGCCCGGCCGCGGAGCCCTTGCGGCAGCAGCACAGGCCGGGCGGCCGCGGAGCCGGAGCCGCCATGGAGCGGCGGCGGCTGAGGAGGAGGAGGAGGCGGCGGCGGAGGCGGCGGCTGCTATGTGAAATCCATGGGCGGGCGGGGAGGAGGGAGGCCCCGGCGGCCGGAGCGGCCGGGGCGGGGAGGGGGAGGCGGAAAGGACCGACCGGGGGAGCGCAGGGCCCGGGCCCGGACAGCAGCGGCGGGCGCGGCCGCCGGGGGGCGCCGCGGGGGCGCCGGGAGCGCTGCAGGGCGGCCCCGCCCCGCCCGCTGCGCGCGCAGCCGCCCCGCCCCGCCCCGCGGCGCCTCAGCCCGGCCCGGGCGCGGGGACGGACCCGGGCCCCGGCGCCGCTCCCGGGGGGCAGCGCTCACTCGTGCCTGCGCTCGCTCCTTCGTGCCTTCGCTCTTCATTCCGTCTCCCACAGGCGTGGGTATCCACGCGTGCCGCCCGCCAGCGGCTCCGTCCGGCCGTGCCCCTCTCGCAGCGCAGCTTTAACCGGCCCACGCAGCGCTTCCTCCGCTCCCCACAGCCCAGCCCCGTGCCTGGCCCGGCACACCGAGCCCAGCACTGCTCCTCTGGGAATACCTCACTGTCGCCGTCCCCCGCCCCAGCTCCACGACAGACACCCCCACACCCTCCGCCCACGGCTCCCAGCAGGGCCCATTGCACCCTCAGCCCACCGGGAACTGGTTTGGCTTCCTCGCTCCTCCCGGTCATACCCCCACACCGAGCTCACAGCTAACCCCTAACAGCCTCCCTTCTCCCTGCATCCCCCCCCCCCACACCCGCTTTTTTAATTCCTTCTCTCCCAGCTGGGCTGCCCGTAGTTTCCTGCCTCCAACTCTCACTGCAAACTGGCCCCAGAGCCCAGGTCAGATATAATGTACTTTACTCTTCCTCAGAACTTGAGGTAATCAATCACACACCCTCTGCTGCTGCCTTCCTAAAGGGGAAAGGGCAGAAATCACACAGTTATCAGCTTTGTGCAAGCATTTGTTTCTCTGTGTGCCAACAGCAGGACTTAGCAAGCTGCAAGGAAGGAGGTGTGTGCAAGTAATTGTGATTTGCACTCCCACCAGCCCAAGAGAATTGCAGTCTCTGCCCCATGTAATGACACTTCCGTAAGTTATTTTCACTCTAATTTTCACTGTTGTGCTTTGCCTACCTCATTGCCTGATGAGGCTCCAAGGCACATATTTTGGACAAGACAGGAACATTTCTCACATGGTTGTGGGTTTAATGAATCCATAGTGGTACATTCTGAAAGCCTCCCAAGCCTTACACTAACAACTGCAGCATCTGCACCAAATTCCAGCTCAGTTTCCACTGTATCATCACACAAACTGTGGCCTCAGCACATTGTGGCTGCAGTTACTGGCTCAACCAAGGGTTAAGCAAATCACAATATCACTCTACACCAACCTGAAGCTAAAGAAAACTTTTGTGTAATCACTTATATATAGTAAAACAAGCTACAATTGCAGTAAAAAATAACAAGATAGCACTCAGGCTCTTTGGTTGCTGTATACAGCACCCTGCACTTTCTCAGTGTGCTTTTCAAGCACCTTCAAAAAGAAATTTTGCCTTTACAATAAATCCTCTTGTAACTAGGAAAAACATTTCATCCTGCCATTTTTGCTGTCCAGGTTCTCCTTTAATAAATCAAATGTCCTGCTTTTATCTTTCTGACACCTTCTCTCACTCTTACCAGTTGCCTTTTGAAAAAAACTAGGCTCCCTCCAATTTGTTTCCAGTGATGCACCAAGCCTGTTTGACGTGGCTTTCATCTACAGGTGATGGGCAAAGCACAGCCCCAGCAGCCTCCAGATCTGATGCTGCACGACCTTCACCACAGATAAGGGTGAAATGTCCTCAGGTGTTCCAGCCAGGACAACTTTAGGGCCTGATTACACCAATCTAACTGCATGTTAACTCCACAGTAATTTCAGAAGAATCCTACCTGTGCTTTGGTTGAAGTTCCAAGCAAGTGCAGTGTGTCCACTCATCAGACAGATAAGATGAGGAAGAGCATATTCTCTTTAAGAGGCTCTAAGCTTTTGATAATGAATCAGGATCAGCTGCACTCACAGCATTTGGACAGAATAAGCAAAACTGATGTAATGAAAATTACAGAGAACAATACAGTAACCAGTTATCCTAGGCAAATCTTTCTCCTTTTGCACACCTGCTGGCCTTGGGCCACAGCCTTTGCTGTAAGATGTGCTGATTTTGGGCTAAATTTTCTTCACAGTAGCTGGTATCAGGCTGTGTTTGGGGTTGGTGCTAAAAACAGAGTTGATAATTCAGAGATGTTGTAGCGCTGTTGCTGTGCAAGGCTTGCACAGAACCAAGGGCACTTCTGTTCCCCATATGACCAGCAAGGAGGCTGATGATGCTCAAGGAAATGGGAGTGGATACAGCAGGGACAGCTGACCCACTGACCACAGAGATATTCAAGACCATATGGCATTAAAAAAGCTGGAGGAAAAGGAGAAATTCAAAATGATGGTGCTTGTTTTCCCAAGTCACTATTACACACAATGGAGCCCTGCTTTTAGTGGCAATAGCTGCCCATGGGAAGTGGGGAATGAACACCTTGTTTTGCTTTGCTTTTGTGGCTTCTGCTTTCCCTATTAAACTGTCTTGATCTCAACTCTCAAGTTTTCTAGCTTTCACTCTTTCAATTCTCTCCCCCATCCCACAGGACTGTGTAGGGCCTAGTTGTCAGCTGATACTAAGCCAGAACAGAAGCATGTGTTATCTCCATGCTATTTTGGGTAGGATCTCTTTAAAGAAAGTCTCTGTCCCAATCCCAGGTTCTTATTCTATTCCTCATAGGATTACATCTTCTCTGGATATCATACTATAAATTCTAAAGCAAAATCCAACTCCTGAACATTCCAATCATCATCAACCTCTCTCATAATGCTTCAATGATCCAGATTCTTCTATCCCATTTGTAAATATTAATGTTTCTTCCTTCTACTTCAGTGACAGGGCCCTTGGCCAGGCCTCAGCTTGCTCCTGTGGTTCAGGATGAAAGTCAGTCAGTTCAAAAATTACAGCTCCCCCTGTGAGCAGCGTTGCTTCAGTACACCTGTGAGAAAAGTGCCAAATGGAGCACAGAAGTGATCGCAACAGAAAGAACACTTCCTTCTCAGTCTCTGTCTTTAATTCCAAATTAACAGTGCTGCAGCCAAGATTTAACAAAATGGTTGAGTTAACCCCTGCTCTATCACAAACCCTTGTTTGACAACTTGCTGAGCTGTTTCAGCTGACCAAAGCTGCAGCAAGGATTCAGCACTTTAGGAGAGTCTAACTGGCAAGCAGCAATGTGGGGCAGTGAACACTGAGCAGGTCTCTCACCCATGCTGCTGTTACAGCCAGCACCTACTGGAAAGAACAGCCCCCACTTCACCTCCCTTCCTGTGTGTGGTGCCTTCCTGTCTCCTCCTTTGTACAGCATTCCTGCTTTCTGCAAGTTAGCTTTCTGAACTGGACCACACAAGAGCCACTGCTGGCATCGGGAAGGGAAGAGGAAGTCCCAGCCTGGAAGAAGAAGGAGGATAAGATCAGGATGGCTCCCCTTTTGCCTAGACTGCCATTAGCTCAGCCTTAGCTGCAAAGTGAAGCCACACACTGACCCCAGCAGCATGCAGAACCAGGTACATTAGACCATTTCCTTCAAGGGAAATATTGAAGTCCATGGGGTAAACTCCAGGCCTCTGAGCAGGGCAAGGTCTGTGCTAGTTAATTCTTGCTTTGGACAAGAGTTAAGAACAATCACAACAACACTTTATGTGCTACTTCAAGCTACAGTGCAAACTCTTAATGCCACAATTTGCCTGTGGTACTGGTAGGTAAAAATGCTTCTGTGACTCTGTAGTCATGTCATTCTATAAACAGTAGTGCTTTCAGGTAAAGAAAATGGAAAATCTGAGCCTAAAGTGGTCTTCCACCTAACCTCAGCCCTTCTACTTGGCTTGAATACTTGCACTATAAATTATTACTCCCTGTACTACTCAACATACATGTATTGCAAGCTACCCCCAATGCTGGAGGGCACAAAAATCACCCACCACACTTTTAAAGAAACACCTTTTCTCTGAATGAAGAAAGATCAGACCATGATGCATGACAAGAAGAAAAAAAACCTAAAAGCCTGCAAACCCGGTCCCAAGGGCTGCAAAGGTGCAAAGTTCTTTATGTGCCTGAAACAAACCACTTACACCAATAAAATTTACAAAACCCAAAATAGTTTTATTTACTTTTCAGATTTCTGCCTCAATGAGACATTTTGCAAACATGCTAAGGCTACAAAATGTCCAAGTTGACAAAGACATGCAACGCTGACCATTCAATAAGTCACGGCTATCACAGGAACGACTGTGTCCCCCGGGCCACAGGTCCCAAAAAACAGGGATGGTGTACAGTGATCATGGCAATGCACTACGCAGGACCCAGTAACCTGAGGTAGGTCATTTACAGTAAGAAAACCATGTCCTACACCAGTGTTACATCCTGATCAACAGGAACCCCTTTAAGGTTCCAGAAGATGTGGGGTCGAGGACTGCTTCCTTAACAAGTGTGCAAGAAAGAAACAGGAAATATCAATGTTGATTAATCTTAGTTTAAGTGAGCAGAACAGAGTTAGTGTTACCCATGCCATTGAAAGCCAACCTAAACCTCTGAGGAGTGTTAGCAGCTTCAAGATAAAGAGTCAGTTAGCTGAAGCAACTCTTAAAAGGCCTTCCTGCCAGCATACAGGGTACAATTCGAACCTTATGATTAATTTGTTACAGATCATTCCACAAACAGTAAGATTTTGGTTGTGCTAGATCAGCGAAGCAGGAAGAGCTTGGGCTTGCTTGCATTAAATTAAACTCTGCTGATACAGTAAGAAATACTGTGTCAGGACACTGAGAAAATACAAGGCCTTAATGTGACCCAGGAGTGGTTCTCCATTCAGATCACTAAAAACCCTGCTTTGGAAAAGCATCACGGGAAGCAGCAGCCGCTGCAGTGGTGAACATCAGCAAT